CGACTGGCTTGGATGCGTCCTCGTCATTTCTTTCCACGTCGCGAAGGTGTTCCTGGAATCGGTCACCTAGTCGTCTTCCTGTTTCGCCGATGTATAACTTATTGCAATAAGTACAAGTTATGCAGTAAATCAATCAGTCCGACATGACGTCAGTCATGATCTCAGCCAGAGTCAGTCAATCAGTTTGCTTGGTACCCAATTAAATAGACAGTCGTGATCATGCGTGGTTGTCAATTATCGCTGATTCTGTTTGTCGTCATGTCTTTCTTTCTGCCTCTGTTTTTTGTTTGTATGTGAGAACCTGCTTTTCCTACTCTCTGTAAACATTGTACATTCTTACGAACTTTCGATTCCAAAGGAAACTCTCTCAGGAAATCAAAGCGTTCCTGGTCGACCGATTGTGATTCCAAAAAAGTTTGAGAAACTAGTAAAAGGACCAGATGGAGACCATCTTCAACATGTTAGCACTATGACTGGAGCTGCAGTAAGTTCAATAGGACCCGATCATCGGCTGTATGTAAGTGGATCCAAGAGAAACACGAATCATGCCGAGTATGTGATAAAAAGCAGAATGGTGAGTTTAACACTGACATTATTTCATGTTAAAGAAAATAAGATTTTGGATACCCTGCCAAATGCTAAATGTCTCTTATTTTTAATACAGAGGGGAGATTTTTTTTTCAGTTAGGTCAACGATTTTTCTGCATTGACTGTAAACCCTTATTTTTTCGCTCTGTTTTAGGCCGCGGGAAGAGTCATGGCTAACACAATCTGTGTCTTTATAGACGAGAAAAATCTCCCAGAAAATTGTAAATTACAGCTTTTCCCTGTAGAGGAAAAGGAGCGCTTAATACTTTCAGTGGGAAGTTCATCTCAGTATCGCTTGAAACCTTGTGAAGAATATGATATGGATGTACAGGTTTGTGCAAAAAGTGGCTTATGGTGAAAGGCGTAGAACACTCTGCAATCATTCTGTCTGCAGGTATATCGGTGCAAAGTTAGCGAGAAACGACCGTTCAGGGTTAAATGATAGACGCGCATGAGGTTAATGACGAAGCGAATAGACTGCTGATGTTTAGCTAGTTTTATTTATACTATATATGAAGGAGGTAACGGGTATCGAGTTTTTAGTTATAATCTCGAGGCAAAGCAACTGAAAAAAAAACAACATCAACCCAACGGAAGAAATGCCTCCCTATCTGACAGGATCGATTTTAATTATAGGGAGCTTATGCGCTCAATCAAGCTGTCGCAAAATACGATGCTTCAATAAACAAAAGAATTTTAACATCCCTGAGGAACTTGAAGATGGAAATTGGGTCCGGCAATTATCACAAAGCTGACCTGTGGTGTCATTTCGGAAAAATCGTCATACGGGAACCAGACGAAGGTGAGGCTTAACTAATTTATAATTAATAGTGGAGTAGATTATTGGGATGTAAAATACAGGTACCTCTACCTTTGCGCTCCTTTCTTCGTTATGAGAACACTGTGGTGTAATGTTTCTTCTCCAAAAGCAAGGCTTTACCTGACTTTCCTATAATAATCAACTGAAAAAAATCTCAATTCTCTTTCAAAATTTTAAGGGAAAGGAAGACAATTTCGACAGCCTATCGCCCATTGGTACACTATTATCCATTGCAGTTTAGTGTTTAACATAAATCGATTATCGTTCTATCACAAATCCTTTATTCAGTGATTAGCTACTAGGTTGATAATGTAAATTGACCTCCATAAAGAGTTTCTAAAGATGACTTTTCGAGTGTAAGCCCTTTGTTACTCGCCGTTTTTCCTGAATAGTGAGTAACGCGAGTTACCTAACATTGTATGGTTGTTGTCAAAATAAAATAAACACTTGATTCTGTCAGTGTTGCTAAGTTTTGGGCAAGTAGTCGATTTATTCTTAAAGAAATTAGATTATTCGCTTTCAATTTCTTTGTGAGATAGTTTCTTCGGGCTTCGCTCTCACTAACTATCACGTAATAGAAATCGAGAGCGAAAAATCTTGTCATTGATTGATTAATTTGAAAGGAACTGGACCTGATCTGGATGGTAAAAAGAGACACCATTTTGACGATGTAAGCCATCAAGTATTCAAAAAACTACATTTTTCAACAGCCGATCTCGAGGAGACGTGGAGCATTGCTGATTCCATCAAGAAGCTTCAAAGAACAAAGCAGAAAAAAAACGAATGGCTTGTTGCATTTAAAGAGGGCGTGAACCTTGCTGACAAAGTGGTGAGCGATACATTTGGTGATCAGATAGGGGAGGACTTCATGGCAAGATATGACTTGACGTTTTTGTCCCCGAAAAGCCAAGCAATGCGATGTAAGGCAAGTTTACCACTTTCACCATTTTAAATGACATGAACCGGTTTCCGTTTCGAAGTCATATACACATTCACGTACAAGAGGTTAACTGTACCCATAATGCAATGTAGTTTCCCTTAATGAATGCTTGTCCATAGTGCATGCATACAAGAGCAGAGGCATAATAAAATACAAAAATAATGATAGGATAGCTAAATGGGGATTGCTGAGCAAATTAATTTCCTTCTTATATAGGTTCAGAACAGTTCAGGAAAACACGCTTTAAAAAACTGATAAATGTTGAGTTTCATTGATTCAAAACTTTCTCATTCACAATTTTTTGTAATTTGTTGGACATCTACAATACCTTATATGTATTAAGAAAATTTGCGTTCTCTCAATTATTCATGTTTGGCTTTTTTCAATTTTTGAGTGGCTTTTTCTCATGACAACTTAGGTATGGGTAGCAAATAAAGATGTGGGAAAGAAACTTGAAGAAATACCGATTCCTTTCCATGACCTGAAAAATGTTGTTGAAGAACTGCGGTTTGAGGATGATTCCACAAGGGCGAGGTGTCGAGGGTGGCTGGTTTTACAGTCCAAGAAATTTCTCCAGGTTAACATCATTTTTCCAGGTTCAGACGTTGATTGCAGGATAAGCTTGCGTGCACTTACGGGTGAGTCTACGAAAGGTCTTATATCTCTAGTTGTCTGTGTGTGTCATATCACATATGCATTACTTAGTGAATGAGTCATTCAGTGACTGACCAATGGACTGACCTCCTGACTACTGACCTGCCTACCCCACTGACGTAGCACCACAGTTACTTTGGAAACTCACTCCCTTTGATTTACTGACTGACTGAGCGGGCAAAACGAGAAAGTGAGTGAGTAAGAGGTGAATGGGTGGGTAACTTAATGCATACGAATTTATATTTCCCTCCCTTGTTGCAAATGTGATAAGTATGAAATTATTCCTATGTTAATATTTTGGTCGATTTTTTGGGTCAACAGTCCAGTTTCATTTGCAAGAGCCAAGTTTCTGTTGGAATAAATTTTGGCAACGCAAGATGGCCACTTTATAGCCTAAAACTCACGCAAAATATACTTTAAATCTTGAAACTATTAGCATATTTGGAAAGTTGATTAAATAACGGGCTAGTGAGTGAGTTTATGAATGCGAAACCAACATAAATACTAATGTTTAATCCAACGGCTTTTTTTTTCCTCAGATGATTTAGTTGCTAACAACAGCCTTGTGCGCGAGAAAGAAGCGACACACCTCATATCAAATTATCTTTCTAAGTTGACATTCTCCGATGCCGACGGGTTACGCCTTCCAGAAGACGAGAAATTACCCCAAGGATTTAACTTTACTCATCGGAGATGTTCCCGCCGAACTTTGTTCACCCCTCGGCCTGGATTTACCATGATTGTCTCTGATGAAAGATCCTGGTGCAGTGATCTCAAAGATGAGGAAAACAGAGTGACGGTAGGAGATTTGTCGTTAACAACACAGTTATATTACGACTTATTTTAGTACAAATTTAGCGTTCAATCACAATTGGTGCAATCTGAGTAGCTACGCTTCCCGTTATTTATTTCCACGATAGTCATAGAGTACAGAGGGTGACCTAACAATGTACAGTTCCGGACAAAATACAAAAAAAAAGAGTCCGTCTCTAAGTTACGTTTCCAATGAGTAGTAGATGTGTAATGAAAGGATTAAATTATTCGCTTTCGATTTCTGCCCTCACTCGATATCACGTGAAAGAAATCGAGAGCGAATAATCTAATCGTTAAAAAGAAATTTTTTTCCTCATCAAATTACCCGAATTTTTTTAAAATATCTTTTCAATTAGTTTGAATCGTCGTCAGCTTAATAACTAGGAGGTTCATTTATTTTCGAGCTAACTTCTCTTTTTCCTCTATTCACTTCTTTTCAATCATTCATACCCTTAGACGGATATTCACCTTCATTGTGAAAAATGGGATCAGCTCCTCAACGAACGCGACTGGGAACCAGAAACAATCTGTGCCGAGTTGCCTGAGTTTCTTCAGTTTGTTCGTCAAGTTCAAGATTTTATTTCCTGTAACAGCAACAACACAGCTGATCAAGAGTGAAGGATAATACGCGGTCGGTCTATATTTTAATAATTTGATTAAAATTGTTGCCTATATTCATAAATATTAAAAAATTAAATTTGAATCTGTTGCGACCGATGTTGGTGTTTTCATCTCTCTCTGGTGTAGTTGTCAGTCGCTTGTTCGATTTTCATTTCTGTCTCACGGCACCCGTTATTACTTCAAAGAACTGGACGGAAAGTGGAGCAAGGAAGGCCCATTTAAGCGAAATGCTATTTTTTTTGTTTGTCGTAAAGGACACTAAATTTGAGTTGTTTTCGTCACAAGCGCACGCCCGACGCGATTGGTGCGATTCTCAAATAACGTTGCAGGATATATTTCAAGAAGCCAAAATAGTGGAAAAAGAAACAATTGAGAAATAAAAATCCCTTATTCGATGGATCAAAATATAAAACAAGTGGACACTTACCTCAGCGCTTTTATTATCGATTTAACCATGCATCGAATAACGTGTATTTATTAGGCTATGTATGTAAGGGTTTTCCTCTCTCGTGCTTCTTAACGCGTTGAAACTCCTGATTAAAACTTAAGAAAATATGTGGGGAAGTCAAGAGAAAGCATTCAAACAAAAATTATCTGCTTTTTTATTTGCCCTGGTTTATTCGGTATAATTTATTGGTAAACCTCGATTTGATGTGCTCAACCCCCTTGAGGCGCAAAAATTTGCTTCCGTGAGAGGCAACAAATCGCCAATCTGCAAGACTAGAAATTTCAGCGCGTTTTTTATGCTTTAAGTTGCATGAAGCACTTATGAAACACTTTACATTTGTTATCTTATTCTGTCTATTCAACTATTTCATCACATCCGTTTGGTTGTAATGTTTTGAAAATCAATTCTTTAAGGGCATCGAAGATATTTCGGACAATGCCAAACTAAAATGACAACAAAAAAGGAAACCACAAGTGAGATGTATAAACCAGCTACATATCCCAATGCCTCTGTTAGGACTCCTGCTGTGAACAACGAAAACTGTTTTCCAAGAATTTCCAACGTACCAAGGAAAGAGTAACAAGTCGTTTGCACGGATTGGGGTGCATTCTGGGAACATCGCAACATGAGTGTATAGACAGGAGTGGCCTGGGACCCATGAACTACACTGAGCATCAGGTATACTGTAAGCGAAAAACATAGAAACTTAGACAAACAATTAGTGATCAAGATGTCAGGCTGCTTCTTAGTTGTTTCCACGTAAGCACAAGCCAGACGTTTGACAATTGAATTGCTCAGCTATGGAGTTTTCGGTGTGCCCACGAAACCGTCCACAAGGAAAATGGACGCACCTTGGCACATTGCGTGATTGACACGTCATGTAACTTGCTAAAGAGTATCACCGCAAATGACTCCTAATCAGACCCTCTCAGGAGTTAACACTTACCAAGGGCTATAAACTTCGTGTTATTCAACCAGACAACACAAAGCTGAGCGAAAACTGAACAAACAGATAACAAGGACGTCAGAAAGAAAAGCTGCGTGGGAAGTATCCTAGAATTGGACAAAAATTAAAACAACAGGTATTAACTTTATTACCATACCATAAATCTAAAAGTGTCAGATTTAAAGAAAGCAGGTTTACATTTGCATACCCTCCCCATCCTTAAAAAATTTGTTGCCGTTTGGTAAATTATGCTGCTGTGCGGTACTTCAAAATTTGTACTACTGGAGTATGGCACTACGTTCATTCCTAAACATATCCGAATCTTTTTAAGTAAAATTATATCTTCTAGGATAAAAAAAAAATACCCAGCTCGTGTACAGTGACCTCCACCCCTAGAAAATTAGAAAATTGGGTTCCGTTACCGAATTTTCTTAACCCTTTAACTCCCATGAGTGACCAAGGCAGAATTTCTCCTTACAATATCAGTACAATATCAACCAGATAACTGATGAGAATAAAGAGAAATATCAATTTGGGGATAATTAGTTGATCCAATACTAAATTCTCTGAGCTAACATTATAAGAACTGTATTGTTGACAGTAAGGAGAATTACAAATGTGATGTGGGAGTTAAAAGGTTAGGGGAAGGTCGCAACTTTGCATGGGTTAAAGGCTGAGCGACAAATGATGAAGTAAACGTTGGTAAGATTGCCAAAAGAAAGGCTACTTTTAATTTTCAGTCTTCATTTACGAGCAGATTCTATCTTAAAAACGAAAAAAAAAAAAAAAAAAAAAAAGCTATGAAAAATTTACAAATCCCCTTCATCTCACCTTTTTGCTGACAGAGCCACTCCCCACATAGAAGCAACAGCAATTGAGATACCTTGACCCACCATTCCAGACAAGAAGCCAATACGGCCTAGGCTCTCTCCGGTATCTACCAGGAACATGGTGAATATTGACTGCGAAGAGTGCGACGCATATTTATACACACACGCGCACGCTATCATCCATTGCAACCCTGGTGTGCGCGAGAACCCACTCATCCGTGTGGTCTCTGAGTAACGCAATATTTCAGGTTTAGGACAAACGTCGGGCGTCACGTAGCTTTTCGTGACAAAAAGTGTCACCATCAGGGAGAAATAAGAGATAGCGAGGGCAAAGAATATTTCTTTTCTCATTAAGGAATACTCCGCAGCTAATAGAGTCAGACCTCCTCCTATTAAAAAGCCAATTTTGTAGCCAATGATCTGAAGTGAGCTTGCCCTTGATAATTGGTCTCCATGAAATTTTGACAGCAGTATTTTTCCAAGCGTCAAATCAACCGTGGCAGAAAATAGATTAAGTAATACCAATGAAGTTATGAAAATAATTCTGTCGTCAACCCTTGCAAGTAAAAGTGCAAGCGCAGTTCCTGCGTAACTTGTCGAGAGCCAAAAGGTTTTGTTACCGTAGATATCGATGATCGGTGCCCACAGAGATTTTAAAAGCCAAGGGAACGTCAGCAGATTCAGAGATCCCACGAGAAGAAGCGACGATCCAGATTTGCGCAGAATTATGGGAAGATATCTTAGTTGAAGTCCGTATAGTATACCTTGCAAAGCATATTGTGAGGCCAAGAAAAATTGATACCACATACGAGGACCTTGCATGGTTGGATGTTACATAAGAATTTTTCCTTTCGTTTCTATCAGGACTCAACGGTATCCACGTGACCGATCATTTCCGTTTGCGTGGCCATCTGCGAGATGCCGGAAATCCAGCTCACGTCCTACGTCCCACGTCCGAGTAAAATCTTCTTAATCTCAAGTTATTCCTTACCGAGGTCAGAGATTTACCCTTAGAGAACATTCCCTTCAGAAAAATTATGACCAATTCAAAATTTGATCTTTCGGAGAACTATTTCTTACCGATCATTAACTGTAATTTTACCCTTGTGCATACCTCCTTTGGCAGTTTTTAAGTAAAAACAGTGATTTGCAAGATAAAAATTACCGAAAATAATTAAACATAGAGGCTCTTTTTTATTATTTCGTTGAGAGATCTAGCAATCTGGGCCCAGTTGTATAAAAGACGGATAACGCTATCCAACGGATAAATTGCCATCCGGCGAATAAGTGATAGCAAAACGTATAGCGTTATCCACCGGATAGAGTTTTATCCAGTGGATAGCGTTATCCAACCTTCGAACAACTGGGGCCTGTCGTGTTTGGTTATTTGCGCTATGAATAGCAACGTCTTATGTCTTTTGGGATAAGGAGAATCTCGTCCACGTTGAGCTCAGGTCATTGAAGTGATTTTCAACCCCTAGCCATTTTGTATTGCTATTCTCCTATCAAATAAGCTTTCCATTTGACAAAATCCCAGGGTTTGAGGTTTTAGAAATTTGGGTGGTCAAATAAAACGGGTTTAAGGACTTTGAAATCACGTGCAGGAGGTCGACGAGTGAAGTGGATGGAATGTAGTCGTTTCACGACAGTGGTCGTATAAACATCTAAGTAACTTTCGACAGAATGCTCAAAACAAATTTACCAAACTTTAAACTTACTACATAAAGGATGACGACATGGATATCATTTTATAATCTATTGATGGATATTCAAAAGTCATGCATGGATAAAAGAGTATCTGTACGTACGACTTAAGCTGAAAGAAATCGCATATGGAACAGGAAATTTCCGAAATTTCCAAATTTCCGGATATTTCAAGGCAGTTTATGTAGTGAGTTTTAAGTTTGATAAATTTGTTTTGACTAATTTCGAATACAAAATGCTCGCGAGGGAAACGGGAGTGTGGAGGTGGTAGTTCAGAAAGGTTCTTCGGCGACGCTGTCGGAGCTTGTGTAGCTGCCCTATTTGTGCAGTAAAAACGAGAGGCGATGGCTACAAGCAAGTTTACCACAACATTTTGGGGTCAATAATTAGAGTTGCGCAGGAACACATACGGGACCGCTGAGTAAGTTCTGATTCAGCTTTCGCTTTGTCAGTCCTGGAGAAATTATTTTAGGTGAATGAAGAGTTTTAAACCAGGACTCGTCTTAATTATTTTACCCCTAAGAGTGACTGACATCTAATTTCTCCTTTGCAATATCACCACTGAAGCACGCGTTAATGTCATGAGAATAAAGGAAATGATCACCAGTTTAAGAACCTCTTAGTTGTCACACACTCAAACAAGAAGGATAACAGGCTTTACAATAAGCAATCATATCCTAATCAATTCGTAGTATCACATGAACTTTTACAGATCGTTTTCGTTCTCTTGACTTGAAGCCATGAAGAATGAATTCATCTCTCATCATTTTACCGAAAATTACAACATTTCTACTCCAACGTCACAAAACAGACGGTTGATTACTGAGGCATGTTACTTTCAACTTTGTAGTAATACGGGTCCTCTTGATCAGCGGTCTCTTCTCTTTTGCTATGCTCTCCAACCAGTACCAGGTACCCTTGGTCATATTCGGCGACTTGCTCAGACTATGAGAAAGTAGCAATTAGAAAATGCATGTGAATTTTGTGACATCAACGGCAAATCGCCATTTTTGTCCTCGACTGCGGAAAGGAGGTATTGCACTTTACTATAAGCAATTACAAACGAGATTGATTCGGTAGGTACATTTTTTCTCGTTGCATGATGACGTCCTCCTATTTTTAACAAGCACTGAAACAATATTTATTGCTCCAATGGTTTTGGAGCAATAGCTATAAGAAGACATAATTGTTTTTTCCAAAAGAAATGAAAGACGACTTCTGCTCTGCCCCACTTTGCGTTCCTGTCTTAAAAAGAGAACCACCTCTTTCTGGGTTAAGGCCAGGGTAGGAAATGTATGGGATTAAAATGCATACCTTGGACTGGAGCTGTTTCATAAGAGGATGATAAGCCGCTAAATAATCATTTTCAGTGGTGATATTAGACTTGTCAAGTTGTTGATACACTGTAGGATTGGTATAAACTTCTCCCTCTCCCCAGTCTTTCGCAGGTGAACCCTTGACGAGGCCCTCATAGGCCGGTTGTTCCCATTGAGCCTGATCTTTTGATTTCCCGTCATACTTTAGTAGTTGATAGGCATTCTCATGTGTGTTGTGGACGTGATCTTCTGGTTTATCGACTATAATGGTGACAATGATATGAATAAATGTAAGATACTCTGTACTAAGACACATGAGATGTAGTAACCACTAACTCTAACTTGGCAGATACAAAAATCTAAATAGAGAATCGAAAACCGTAGAAAATATTAAAAAAGCTAAAGAAAACTAGATCCACCAATTGCAAAGGTATTTAGAAACCAAAGAGAGATATATATAGTCATTTCACAAGCAGGGAAAAAAGAGGAAGTCCAACTTCCTTACAAAAAATGGAACCCAGACCTTCGGATTCCGCGTTCTGATGACGCTAAAGACCTCGACATTGCAGTCTCTTGATGCCTCTCCTTTGTCGTAATTTTCTTTGGGCTTTCTGCTCCTAACGGTCCAAACACATAACTTGTAGTTTGGACCTTTACTTGCAGCAATTGAGAGGAGGAGGATTTTACAGTGTTCTGCAATATCGTGGTGAGGTAAAATACTCAGGTTAACCATTCACTTACACTGATTGGTACTTTGCTGATCGCTTCTTGAGTAACTTTTCCTGTGAAGATAAAAAAATGTATATATATATATATATTTATATATTCTCTTATACAGCTTGTAGTTAGTGTTCTTGCTAACTTAAAATTAAAATTATTTTGAGTGGATGCTCGTAATAAAGTACTTGTGGCGATGATGTACATCAGGAAAATAGAAAATACAGGAAAAATAGCTTAAAACATAGATCATATCATAAAAACAAACTCACGCCGTTTGCCGTTTTCTCCAAAGCCAAGCTGATAAGAAAAACATGGCGACGACTACCACAAGTGAACATAACACAGATACAACTATAACTATTCTTCTGCTGCTACTGTTTACGTCAGTTGACTTGTTTATTATCTTGTCTTTACCAGGACTGCTTCTTTCTGTCGTTGTCATGGAGATAACAGTAGGAGTCTTTTTAGGTGTGGTATCTGTGTCGCTTGAGGAAGTCGGCGGAGTCTCGGATGATTTCGTCGACAACTCGGTCTGGCTGATGGGGGTCGTTCCTGTGCTGTGTTCTTTTGTGGATTGGATCTCTGCAGTTGATTTTGCTGTTGTTCCTTTTCTTGTTGTTACCTCTGCTTGTGTTGTTGGTGGTAGAGTTTCTTTTGATGTGGCAGTTTCTGCTGTTGATAATTTTGTTGAGGTGTTTTTTGTTGTCATTTGTTTTGCTGTCGCTGGTTTTGTCGTGAATGGTTCGGTACATTTTTCTGTGGCTAGATATGAGCGAGCGAGTAAATTAGTACAATGAGGACTTGAGTAAATGAATCTGTATCCCATCGCTCTGTGATGGGTTAAGAAAACTAGTACCTCTCTCTCAACCAATCAGCCACAAAACTTAAAACAATCGAGTCATTTGCGCTTTCCGTGCCTCAGGAGGTTTGCTTGTTTTTACTTGGAGTTCTCATTTATTCCTAGTCATTTTTTTCTCTCAATTATTTTGGTTTTGGTTTCACGTTGCACAATCCAAATGCACTCCATGAGGGATTCAGTCGGTTAGATTGATTCATCCTACTTTTTTATGACTGACCAGAGTCTTTACCAACCTGTAAATGTCCCAGCTGTCTTGAAAATGAAGCAGGAAGCAAAATCTTTTCCTTTGCCTTTCTGTTTACACTTTACGTTGATGACAACAAGATTCCCTGTGAAATTCGTTACCGATGATTTGTTCCACTAGATACAGATTAAAATACAATAAAAAACAGAAAACCAAAATTACATTGGCTCTTTCTTTCCATTCTCAATGTATTGTTGTGGCAGAGATGCTTTGTCGAAAATGATCTGCTTTTGAAGGGAAAAAAGGACTTTTCCGAGAGCAGGAGGGATGGAAGTTCTGTAAGCAAGGCAAAGAAAAAAAAAAGGGAAAACTGCTATGTCGCGGCAGTTTATTGGCAGTCCACTTCGCACCCCTTCCCTCAAAAATATTTATGATAACGGCAAACGGCTAAGGCTAAGACAGATTGCGGGGAAGTGATGTGTTCGTCAAAATTCAATCCCTTAGCGACTAAAGCCAGATTATTGTTTACGACATCTTCTTTCTTTAAAAATTGTTAATACACAGATTTAGCCTCGAGTTTCCGATAGCTTAATTGTAAAATTCATTGAAATGCTTTAGGTTCGACTCCTCCGAACGGTTTTTTATCGCTAAAGTGGACCCCCTACAGATATAAGTTCTAGTGTAAACAACGTTAACCCTCTGGTGATCTTACAGTTTGGAGCGCCCAACAGCTTATCCCAGCTGACTCGTATGGCTTTATTTACCTCTAGGTAGATATCTTTCTTGTTTTTCTTGGTCCAAAACCTTCGCTGAAAGTCGGTAAAGTTCGTCCATTGACCATCACCAACATAGCGAGCGGCTTGGACATCACAAGACTCGGTATCTTTAGGTTTTGCTCGGCAGAATTTTATCTTAACACATGATTTAGTTTGAAAGTTGATAAGAGGTGGAACCCAGGAGCTGGCTTTGCAAACGTCTTTACCTCTATCGTTTTTTCTATCGTCATCATCATCATCATCATCATCATCGTCATCACCACCAGCTTTCACTTCGAGGCGCGCACCACATCCTAACAATATACAACCAAGATCAGGTTTTTCTCTTGATGATTTAACTAAACGCGTGGGGAGGGGAGGGGGGAGATCTACCTGATCCGCTAATAAGGTTCTGTAATAATGTTATGACCTCCTCCCACCCCCTCCTCCCCTTCTCATTAGCGGTTGATTGGTAGTCAAATGTCCCTCCTATGCAAACTGTTGGGTAGACGCAGTCCCCCTTTATTCCCCATGAAAACCATGTGATCCCCCTAATATCATCAGCTGTAGCTGTGTTTTAATCACTCATCCCACGGTATCTCATATTCACTGTCACTCGATCGTAGAAATAAACAATGTTATAGATCATCTATCATCGACTAAAAGCGGCATGAACGCGTCTCATCTTATCTCTCTTTCATTTTAATCAACTGAAAGGAATAAAAAATAACTATTCTGAAGCCTGAATATATTTACAGCAGCCAGAGCTCGACAGGAAAAAACTGATAAAAAAAATATGACCTACCAATTGACCCTGGACCAAAATTATCCGTGTTCAGCTCCTGCAGATTCACACACTTTCCCAAGTGAAACAAATAAATTGGGTGATCACTTTTACATTGACACCACTGACAGCAAGGTTTTGAATTGGAACAATTTCCTCTCGTGTCGACCGAACGAAAATTCTTACAGGAGTCGAAATAAGAAGATTGGCCACCCGCAATACAGTTTGACACAGCTGTACGATTTGGATTTGTGAATTTGTCATTCTTCTCCAGCCTTGTCACATTAACAATCAAGCAGTCCATGTTTTCCGATAAAACCAAGATCATCAAAGCTAACAGTGCCATGCTCGTCTTGAAGATGCTCCTTCCAAATTTTTGCATCTTTATTCGCAAATGACTTCAAGTTATGAGAGCAATCATATGAAAGCTTAATTTTATAACAAAAACAGCCGTGACATGACCTTTAAACTTAACGTGAAACGCCCTCACAGAGCTCTTGCCTTGTCATGCTCGGGATGATTTCCTAACATGGTTATAAAAATGCTAACTTGCTCTCGAATTAAAAATTGAGATACATAGCAATTTAATTAATGAGTATAAGAAGTTTTGGAGGAGATGAGCCAGTTTCCTATTTTCTGATAAGTTCCGAAAAAAGGATATGATCCCTATTTTTATCGACGTTCACATTTTGCATCTCTTTTGGTTCTTTAGAGGTTTGCCATTCTCAGAGACTAGAGCTGGAATTTTGAGAAGGACGCCATTCCGGTGGGGAAGGAGGAAGGGGGTTGGGATACCTTAGGGATAAACTGTTTCGGGTGTAGGTCCAAAAATCTCTTTTTCTATGAGACTTAATGTAAATAGAGAGAATATACATCTCTTTTGTCCACTGTTTAAGCGTGAAGACCGCGACAGCCATTTCCTGTCTGACGGCACTTACGTCTATTTCTCCTTTAACTCTAGTTGGGTTCCAATCCTCTTACGGTTACTAATTAGCTTTGCGTAGCAAAAAGACCGTCGAGGTTGATTGAAGAGTAAGTTATGATCAAATATGTATTTTTAGAATAAACTATTACCCTTTACAAACGTTTGTTTAGAAAATAGGGGCGGTACAGGAACTGAGAGATTCATCAAGGCGGGTTTCATCGGAGGATTTCAAGTTGCTTTTAGTCAAGTGGAACCTCTTCATCACAGTAAAGCTTTTCCTACAACCATTCTTGGAACGGGGATTTAATTATTATATGAGTGATTTAAAAATCCTCATGGAAAAAAATGAGGAAAATGAGGTATTTGCCTCATCCAAAGCAGCCATGGAATCACAAATCGACTAAATCGTATTAAGTCGTTTTGATTGCTGAATTACCGATAAGGCCGAATTATTTTCACACTGAAAAAGAATTCGAACTCACAACGAATTTGTGAAAAGCTTGCCAGAACCGAGAGTTTATTAACAGTAAAGAAAAGGAAAGTTGTCAAAAGAGCATTAGTAGACTTGATTACAATGGTAATCTGACCTTTTAATCCTACCTGATCGGTGATTTGAAAGCCATAAAGGGGAAAGTAGCGTGACGCGTTACGAGACCAAGGAAACTTCTGCGAAGGAGACTAGTTTTAATTTTTCTATTCTGGCGCTGGTCAAAGCAGCGACCAGTCGGGGAAAAAACTGCCTTAACCCTAAATTTCAAGGTAACTTGGCATTCGTAATTGATCTAGCACGAGGGAAGGGGGGGGGGGAGTCATCTGGTCATAGACACCCATGCCCTCCCCACGCCCCTCTGAACTATATTTATTAATTCACTGAGTTGATAAATTTTCGAGATTGAAGCTCTTCATTTATTTCTGAGGAACCAAATTACTATTTGCATAAACACGAGGAATATATTTTGTTGACAAAAAATTACAATCGTTTCCAACTACCATCCTTACTACTAACGTTAACGTTCAATTCAAATTTCAACAGTTTGATTTATAATTAAATTAGTAATTAATACAAGACTAAAGGTTGCTTAGCCGACTTTCTCTTGAAATCACTAAAATTTGTACAAATTGAAAACAGTGTCTAAAGTACATATGCATTTGCCGCTGATAAATATTGAAGAAACATTTTTAGGTTTAATTTTTTGAGCTGCTCAAAGGAGGTATTAATAGCACAAGTCCGTCATTTAAATGTGTAATTCTTAGCAATAATAGTTATTGTTTTAAAGCTTTGGCTCTAACCTTTACAGTCACGGTGTGCAGGACGAAAGAAAAAGATGCTTATCTTTTCCAAAGCAAAACTTGGGAAAAAAAGGAGATTGGGACGAGTTCCTGAGACCATCAGACGATTGTTAACGACGCGGACGATCGTTACGGTTTCGGCAATTCGTATAGAACTCAGGGCGATTTCTGTGATCATCTGGAAGCACCGCGTTCATGTTCTAACAACCTTGATAATCCAGAGGCTACCCTGCTTCGTCAGTGGCTTTCTGAAAAGAGTTTTCATAAAAATGTTCTCCATCGTTTTTCTTTGTTCTTGTTTAGCTTTTGTTTTGAAACAAATGGAACAGTCTTTGAGTCCAGAGAGTAAATCTCCACTTCACTTCTCGATCAATTCGACTTCAATCAAACCTCCTTGGATTCCACATGCTCAAGTCTCTTTTGCATCACAGTGTGAATACTTTTCGCCCATTAATTGAAAAAGCTATGAAATGTTAAATTCTGATTTAAATTTTGATGGTATATTAATTTAAGCTAAAACATTGACGTTAAAAATTCACAATTTATAAACAATGGGTAAAAGTATTTCATCGACACAGTTCAAACTGTTATCAGACCTTGTAACAAATACGAAACAGTCAATCATCTGGTAGTCAAAGTTTTCATAACGAGTATCGAAAAGAAATTAAAGTTCTACAAAAAAATGGCGTCTAGTTTTAATAGCTTATTCTTTTACTGATGTTTCCTTTACTGATTCTTTCCATTTACTTTTAAATGATAGTGCTGCTTATTAAAAAAAATTGTTAACTATATGTGCGATTTCTATGACACCCAGAAATCCAACAATTTCTTGTCCTTCCCCCTCAGGCAATTTGAAAGGTGGGGGTTTCAGGCGGTATGTTTGCATTCTCCTCCATCGGTGGTTTTGTATCTGTATCAAAGGTGGATGGTTCAGTAGGTCTGATGTCCTGTGGTCTCTGTTTCTCCAGGTGACCACTAAGCACAGGAGCCTCACCGTCTGTAATATGGAGTTCAAGGAGCGGGATGGACTCTTCAGGGTCATGTTTGAGGAAACTCAACCTGTTATCATCCTTCTTCTTTTCTGTATGAGGCTTTGGTTCTTCTGTTTTGATCGCTCTCAGTGCGGCGGCTTTTTCTCTTGCCACTGAAAGAAATCAGAAAATGTAATATGACCTAAAATATATTTGAACAAAAATAAGGGTTAAGGCAAAGGGTGTAATGACACTTCGGCCTTGCTATGAAAAGTTTTAGATTCACCATTGGTTGTTGCCGATAAAAGTGCTTAAAGAAGCATATTGGCAAGCTCCGATGTCCTGAGCTTATCCCAGTTCGGGAAACGGCAGTATAGTTGTTCAGTTTTCTTTTCATAAAGTGAGATGGCAGGGAACTGCGGGTAGCCTTGTCCTCTAGAATACTTTTCAGTCAGGTTTCCGCCCTCAAATTACTGGTATGTATGTGGACTTTAAAGTGAAGAGAGGCTCTTTGAGAAGCAAGGGTCTTGCCCAGGATCAAGAATGACTCCCGGCCAGGAATCGAACTCAGACATCTAGAGGCGAAGTTAATCCTCAAGATTAATTTCTGGTGAACGTATAAAGTAGTTCAAAACTTTCAGTCTTTTCACTGAAATACGTAATGTTATTATATTTTCCTTTTAACATGTAAAGCTGTGCAGGACATTAACTTACACTCGCGTTTGCGTTTACGCTGACTCTCTCGTAATCTGACGTGTCTGCAAATAGAAAAAAGGACAAATTTCACAGTTTAGGTTTAATAATGCATTCAATTGTTTAAGTATCAAACAAAATTAATGATTCTAAGATAACATATTTCCACTCATACCACGGATGTTGTTGGATTGCAAGGACGAGGGTGAGGGGGAGGGATAATGGGGAGGGGGTAGGGGAAGGGATAAGGGAAGGGATAAGGGGGAGGGGGTAGGGGAAGGGATAAGGGGGAGAGGGTAGGGGAAGTGGGAGCACCCTGTAAGTTCTTAGCCGCTCATGGCATAGCTCCTAGATTTCCACATATTTAATATCACGTTACAATTAAGCATAGATGAGATGATCTGAAACCGCATGCACTGGAACATAACTTTTAAGTACCAAAATTAAATGGAAAAATTTGACTTATCGAAAAGTTTGGCAAGTCTTCCTTGTTGCTCTCCAAAACTCACTAAAGCTTCAAATGAACTTCATTCATCTTTTGACTCAAGCATACTTCACTCCAAGCACCTTGTAGGGCCACTTTAAAGACAGTGGGAGGGGAGGGTGGTGAGGTCAGAGTTTTTAGTGCTCTTAATTTAAAAAATGTGGGTCTTACGATAAAATCCTTTCATTTGCCTCTCATTTACTTGATAGTCCTGAGTAAAGCTTCCCTTCCCTGCTATGCTTTGTGAAAAGCTGGCAGGTCTCGTAGTTTCCATAATCAACCAGGATTTTAAACCAGTTTGTTAGTAATTGTACTCTATTAGGTTATAGATTTCTTTCGCACGTGTTAGAATCGAGTTTCTACTCATATCTATCAAAATTTACTGTTAGATCAGGGTCATTGGATATGAATTAATTATTACATTAATATTAAATATTAAACATCGCAAACCAACCTCATCTGGCGATTGCTTTTGACCACCATAACTATTACAAATGCAATAATCCCACTTATAAGAGAAACCACAATGTAAATAGAAATCTGCCAGCCCTCATTAACTTTATTCCCTTCAGTCAAAGCGTCTGCATCAGAAGGCTCGTGAGGATGACCCATTTTGCCATGCGGGCCGGTGTGATCACTATCATTTTTATGCGTGTCATTTGACTCTCCATGGTGAGTGGGCTTGCTGTGGTGGGTGGATTCATTGTGGTGAATGGTTGAGTGTTCTGTTACTGGTTTAGTCTTCATTTGTGTTGTTTGCGGTTCTGGAAGCGATGTTGTTTGTTTGACTGGTTTTGTGACAGGGACATTCGCTTCCGGCGTCGGACTATTCTCAGTTGAGGACTGCGAACTCGCCTTTGCCGCCTCCCCTTCAGGTGTGGATGATAATAGAACTCCGACGGTCATAGGGAGAGAGGAAGTAACCAAATCTGCAACCAGAAAGGGAAGTAAGATTAAAAAAGATTTTCCACTTGTAATAATTTTTTTTTAAGAGTGACTAGTCTTCATACACCCTTAATTAAAAGTTAAGGAACAAGAGTTGATGTGAATTTTTTCGTAAATTTAAAAGTATCATCACATTAACCATTAAAAATGACTTATATCGATTTGCAGTGGAAGGGAATTGTGGTAAAGATAGAGGTCGCTTACTATCCATATTGGAAGACAGCGTAGTCTCCCTCCATGGAGAAGAGATGACTTGGGAGGACATGATAGTACTCTTAGGTTTCAGTGATGTCATCATGTCGTCTTGTAACTGTAGCAATGAAGATGATGTATTTTGCCTTGACGCTTGAGGTGACAGTTTCCATGGCGATGGTTCTACTGTTACATACGTGGTAGCTCCTATCATGTTAGCAGTAGTGAATTTTTTTAGGTGTGAAGGCGTAACAGTTTCCACTGCTTGATATGATTTCGTACCTTCCTTTGTTTGAGAATACATTGACTCCTGGCTCTGGTTTAGGGATTTATTAATGCTTACGTTTTGAGAAATTGCCACAGTGGAAACTAAGGTCGTTATTTCTGTAACTAAAGGTGAAGACGTGCTTATATTTGCTGGAGAGAACAAAGTTAGTCTTGAAGAAGACATTAATATCTTTGAAGTTGAAGGAGCTCGTTCCTTGAGGTTAGAAGATGTCTTTAAATCTATTACTTTCGATGGGGTAAATTCGTCTTTGACTTGTGAGGACATCGGTATTTTTATTGAAGACGAAAATGGTAAAGAGGAGTTTAATTTTTCAAGAACAACAAGAGTGGTATTGATTTCCATATTACGTGAAAGCCTCACGACTGAGGATGCAGAAGGAACTGAATCGCTTCGAGATATTTTTACCAGCGAAGATTTACGGTAAGACGAAGCTTGTTTCCTCGAAAATGAGGAAGGTTCGTTTCTCAAAGTTGACAGAGATGCCCTTTGCTGCATGCTTTGAGTTGAGGGTGATGGAGGGGAGCTAACTTGTTTCTTCAGGCTTGAGGAAACCATTATTTCAAACACCGGAGAAACTGGTATTTCCTTCTTGACCGGAGTAAGCCAACTGATTTGTTTTGACAGACCTGAGCTAGCCGTAGAAGAACCTTTGTGTTCACCAGCTTTTGATGCCTTTATTCCCAAACCCTCGGATGAACTCATAACTCGCTTGGGTGAAGATGATGCTTTCCATTCGTTTTGAGATGTCCCTCCTTTTTCTCTTTTCGGGGTTACGTAATCAACAACTGTAGACTTTGAAGTAATCTGCAGTTTTACCACCGATGACGTGCTAACGAAATATGACGTCACGATAGGTATTGTTACCGTTAGGTCTTTGTTACTTGGCTCGACGGACGTTGTTCCAGAGCTTCCTGTAGATGCAGGTAGAGGTGTGGTATCGACTTTTGCTGGAACTGTGGACATAGTTATTGCTGTTGTTGTTGTTGAAGCTTGGGTAACTGGAGTGGATTTCGATATTTCGTAAATACCATGGGTTTCCTCTACGATTTCACCAGCCTTCATTCTATCAGCTTGAGTGTCTTTGCTTCTCACAAGCTTTGCATGTGAAGCTGATTGCTTCGTGCTTAGAGAAGGTTGAGTCGTCGCCAGTTCAACGCTTAAAAAGTGACAAAAAGCTAAAATATAAATTGCAGCAGTCCTCCTGCTCCAAACCACCTTACAAAGTCCTTCTGGCATCGCTGAAGTTACCAATCAACTTTCACGTGTTCGAGAGATGTCCCACTTTGAAATTCTGAGAATGAGTCTCACCCGCTTTCTGTACTTTGGCCAGTCGTATTGCTGTTGTTGATGAATCTGGCCAAGTGCTTAATTCTTATTGTTTACTCTGGTTAAACTTCAAATAAAGCAAACGGCATCTTGGGAAGTTTCTCACAGATGTACATTACTGTGAATGCTAGAATTAATTTTCCCACTGCACTTTTTATAGCAGGATTTTACTCTTGGACTCTTAGAATAAATATAAACAGATTCGTAGTATTATTGATTTATAAACTGTCTGATATATTACATTGACGAAAACGGGCGCCGTCTCTCTTCAGGAGAGACATAAATATTGTATGTTTAACTGGAGTCATTTGTCATATTTTTTTGTTGCTTCGTTAGACCCTAGAAATGAGGTACTCAAGTTATAAAACCATGGAGAATTCAACTAATTTAGAAAATTGCATGTTGATAATGTTGAGTCATGCTAGAATATTGATATAGGATCTTACACGTAGTCATGAGAATCATCGGATAATGATTGGCTTCCTTCAAATGGCCGGCTATTGGTCAATGACAGCTATTCCCCCAAGGAAAATTTCTGCAGTGCCTCTGTCTCAAAGGAGAAATAAGCGAAAGAGGAAAACTTCCAAATCGATTTTCAAAGAGAGAATCTTCACACCAATTTGCGAAAATTGGATGCAATCATTATTTGGAATATTTTTGACAATTCGATATCAAGAGACCATCTATTGTCTATTAGATTTCGTCACTCTATTAACGCCACTTGTCTGATGTATTCATATTGTGACAATCAAGGAGAAAGTAGACTTTGAACAGACATGTCACAAAGATTTTACAACTAATTCTGGGTTTGCTTTTCATATGACAGAGTACTCAAAACGAATTTTTCATTATGTGGAACATATATTGATTAATAGAAGACTTTCTCTGAAAAATTGTACATACGTAAAATCAGTAATTTGCTCATTTTACTTAAGTTTATTTGACAATAGGCCTTGCGTACAAAAAGAAATTTTCCACTGATTTTAACGGTCAGAATTTGAATTGATCTGTTTTCGCTTAATTGTTTTTGTCTTTTTATAGTCTCTCTGTTGACTAGCAGGTTTGAATACAATTACTAAGACCGTACTCAATATAAATATTGCTTGCAATTTTTCTGGATTCTCTCAAAGAAGAGTTGGGTCGGATTTCGGTTTTCGGTTTTTGTTTTTGTTTTTTGCTTAATACGCATTGTTCATTGCATTTTTTCCCGTATCTACATTCTGATAGGTATTCAGTGACAGACGACGTTCTTCGAACCTTTGATCGTTTAGCTTTAGTTAATGACTCACTTTCCGGCGTTTAAATATATTACAATAACTAACGTCACGCTTGATTTGAAACTATGAATATTGGAAAAGAGCGGAGTATTGATCCTCGAGTCAATACTTCAATAGCTCGGGATAAAGTTCTTTGTAAGTCCTTTGGTCAATATTCCAAATGACAAAATAGTTTTATGGAAGCCAAATGCATGGTGGGTTACATTAATTTCTCAAAACAATCCGACTTCTGCCTCATGATGTAAAACGTTAAAGATTTTATTAAGTTAATTAAAGTTGTCATTATATACATAAGGTGCTAGCGCATTTATAGTGTTACAGTTGTTATGGTGGCGCTTTTTGCCCTGATTTGGACCTTGCAATTATACAAATGAAGATCATCTATGCAGGGTTTAGCGAGACGAACATAAAACAGCGTGAATAACAAATACCGCAAACATGTTAAAACAGACAACACTTTTTACTGATTTGACCAGGTCGAAACTGTGCCGCTCATTGGCTTTACAAAACGTTTTACTCACCTTCAGCGCTCATAGTCGGTGTAGTTGCATTTTCACTTGAAACGACTAAAGCTTGGATCAAAAATACAACAAAGAAAGAGCTCACTTTTGTCTTGGAAAAAGCCATGACCTAACTTGTTGTTAGATTTGTCGATTACTTCCACACTTAAGCACCGAGGTTTTCAGATTTTTTTTCCGTTCGTTCAGCTCTTCCACGAAACAGGCTCTGTCGAGGTGCCCACAAGGTGCGATATGAGAAAGTAAATGCGCATAAGTTATATTTTCCGTGAGATTGTTGTAGACTGTAATAAGCACAGACCAAGTTTGACGCGACGAATAACAATGATGTTGTAATATCACCTGGATGATTGAAAAACTTCAATATGACGTTTTTTTTTATTCATTTTGTTTCGTTTCGGACCATCCCATTTCCCAGCTCAAAACAAAACATTAAGGAACGAAGAAGAGTAAAATGAATAAAAGACGAAAAAAAATTCCAGATTAGAAGTTTCTGATTTTGCCAAGAATATTCAATGTGATAGTGCTCTACTGAAAAAAAATAGTAATTTTTGTTCCATATTGAGTAGTGTTCGCATATTTGACCTCGCTTTTCAGGAACCAACATTGCTTTCCAATAAGCAAAACTTCAAGTAGCCTCTTTTTATTGTATCCTGCTAATTATAGACAATTGACACTAGATTGCGCCGCCAGAAACATAAAGCTTAAAGAGTTTCGCGACTTATCCACAACAAATTGCGTAAGTTCTTGTGTCATTCTAACTTCCCCCAAAGTGTTTTCATAATTGAATCTGTATTATAAATGTTGTTTGAGTATAGCATGTCCCTTGTGATAATTTTTACGACCTCGTGATCAACATTACCAAAGGATTTGATATTAATCTGAGAGGTTGACGTCAAAATTGATCAACGGACTTTGGAAAACATTTTGTGCTTGTTATGTTATATCTCATTACATTAACCTTATTGAGAGGACTTTGCTTTCAATACATTTTTAAGCTTCTGAAAGTTTAAGAGATGGCACATGTGTCATGTCTCTTATTAATGACTCTTCAGGTTAGCCTTCACTTTGCCCGAATGTTACAACTATTAAGGAGAGTAAAAAGATCAGTCTTCGTTCAAAAATATTTGCCAGAATAGAATTCTTCGTTTAATTTGAATCTTAATTATTTATCTCACAAGGGTTATCAAAGTTATCGTATATACGAATATAGATTCGATATCCCTAAAGCAGTCTTCCTTCAAACATCTAAAACGATGTCTGTCTTAAAAAAGCAAAGTAAATCTCTTCCATCTCGAAAGAAAAGATGACAGAAAGTTTTGCCATCGCAATAATTTTCCATTTTCCATTAAATACATCTCGTTAGTCTTAGTATAGACAACAAAATAAATTTCGGTATAAGTTAGAGGGGGGCAGGATAAGTCGTATCCCTTTGTGTCTAATTCAGAAGAATTTGTAAACAAGGACGTTGGAGCTGTTGGGAGAACCACTAGTACCGAAGATCTTCAGATTGTCGCTGGCCAATCTGAAACCACAAGAATGCAGCAGATCTGTTCTTGCCGGCAATTTCTGCTACTAAACATACACGATAAAAATTGAACTGTAGTTAACTTCGAGCAAGTTTGTAGTTTTTCTCAATCCTCGATTTACTTTTACGACGACTGTAGACTGGGTTATTTAAAAAAATGACAATGGCAAATGACAAAACATCTTGATAGCAAACAGACAGAGTTCTGCTGTAATTTTTTTCATGAACAATGCTGGCGAAGTTGATGACAATTTCCAAACTTCACTAAGATGAATCCTGTTGTTAACTACTGTCAGTCGCACTCTCGGATACCACGATGTTTTAAAATGCCTAACCTCTCTCTAGACATTTTAAAAAGTAAGTGACTTTCGTTACTCGTCAGGATCGGCATAGTCATGATAGCACGAAGAATCTTCATCGGGTACCACGTGACAGTTCTTGTTATCCACCTCATCATCGTCATCGTCCAGGTCAGCGTAATCGTGATAGTTAACATCGTCTGTTATTGCCTGCTCGGGATTATCATCCAGGTCGGCATAATCGTGGAAGTCAGTATTGTCTTTTATTGCCTGTTCATGATTATCCTCATTATCTGATAGAACAATAATACCCTCTGGTTCATCATAATCATGAAAGTCTGAAGACAAACCATTTACGGGTTGTTTTGTTGTTGCAGGATATTTTATTTTCCTCAGAATCGTGTCCGCTGGAGGTTCTTCATGATCCGAGTAGGAATCCACAGAATGGTGAGGAGACGTTTCAAATGAATCTGAAATATAAAATAACAATAAAAATAATGATAACCAAGTAAAAGAGAGAATAATGGTCTCTTAACATCGTAGATAAATTGGTATTTACCCACTCTCGAGCCACGTCGTCCATCCAGCCGGAGATTATCCCGGTCTCTCCAGCATGAAGAGACTAGGAGTGTTATTACACCCCCCTGGATGGGATGTTAGTCCATCGAAGGTGGTACCCCCCTCCCCCCCGTGAGGTATTCGTCAGTTTTCCCTAACAGTTCACTTGAACTCATTTATGCTCCTGTGTGGAGAGAGGCACTGTGAAGATAAAGTGTTTTGCCCAAGAATACAACACAATGACCCGGTAAGCTCTCGAACTCAGACCTCTCAACTCGGAGTCCAGCGCGCTAACCGTTAAGCCACAGCGTCTGCTGACATGAATTGGACCTTCACCCAATGAAAAGGAAGACAAGTTCACACACCTTCACTATCAGTTCTCTCTTCTAGTTCTTGGTAGTCCGGAATCTTTTCTTCATCAACGGTCTCCAGTTTCTAAAGAATAAAGTTAAGAAGTTAAGTATCATGTCTGACATGAAGAGTGACACTGAGTTCGTCTCCATAATTTATCGTTTTAACGAGTGTGGGGCGACAAACCTAAATGTAAAACCTCTCAGAACCGAAAATGCACCGACGACTGAATTCTCAAAACTAGGATTAAAGAAATAAATGGCAATTATTTTGGAGAAGTTACATTTAACAATTAAAGTTAAGCTTTGGCTAACCTGTGGATTGGCGTTGTCAACCAGCGTTTGATAGTCTCTTTCATCTTGAGGTTCATCCTGTATCAAACTGAGGTAATTGGACGAACGAATCCCTGGACTGTTACCGTTAGCGGGTCTCTGACCAACAGACAGCGATCTGTATCCCGGTAGACTGTCTGAGCGCTCAGCTGGCTTGGTGTTCTCAACCAGTGGCTGATATTCTAGTCCTTCCTCGACTTCTTCGCCACTTCTAACCGAGAGTTTCGCCATTTTTAACGTGTCCGAAGCCCCTCGCTCGTAAACAGGGTTACTTGCTGATAGGAAGAGTTAAAATTGGTTAGCTTTCTTACCTCAAACTTGAAAAATCATGTCATAGTACCCTCTACGAGTCCCAAAACCCGAGGAAGTCTTGACAGGATGTTCATTGGATGTTTCAAAGGGGAAAAAATCTGTTGCACTAGTCGTAACATATTTGAAAAGGACTGGAGTTGTGCGAGGATATGATGAAAACAAGGGGGGACAGATAAACAACGGAAGTCTGCATACGTGAACACACTTGCATAACTCAAGCGATGAACTATTGGTATTGTTATCCCTCCTGGAGGGTATGTGGGTCTATCGCGGGTATTTCCCCTTCCCCCCCCCCCCCCGAAAAAATTGCAGATACAATTTGCACTCCTAAGTAAAGAGATGCACTTTGATAGTGAAGCCACCTGCCTGAGGACAAAGCAAAATTACCCTGGTCAAGTCTTGAACCCAACACTGGATTAAGATTTCAGGAAGTTCACAATAAAGCCAATGTTCTGGTTAACAAAGTCTATATCACGATATAACAGTGTTTTTTTTTATCTTTTTAACGTCTAAAATAGAATCTTACCAGGTTTGGCTCTTTTCGCTATTGCAAAACGTCTGCAAAAAAAATGACACAAAATTCACATCATGAAATTGGTTTGCTGAACTTCTGTTTGGCACACCATTAACTTCAGATTAATTCACATACCTATGAGAAGATAGGATTTTTAACACCTAGCATCAAAACTTTGGACAAAGTTTGAAAAAGAGAGGGTTGTTCGAAGTTTTAAAAAATTATAAACATTTATTTTAAGACATTAAAGATTGCATGGCAAGTCAACACAACTTAAGTAAATATATGTTATTCAACAGACGGGAGATCCGTATTGGGAAAAACTGTGCCCGAGGTCTTAGGTACACAAGACAGAGGACACAGTTTTTCCCAATACGGACCGACCTTGGCTGGTGAATAACATTTTTATTTTTTCTAAAACCTAACAAATGGTTGCGAAAAGAACCTGAATGATAAAGGACTGTAATTACGGCTAGATTCTCCATAAACGGAACAATTTATGAGCGAGTGGATGGTAAAGAAAACAAGGGCAATGCAAATGAAAGAGAGAGGTTTCATAAAAACATATTTATTTGCGTAATGATATTAAAAGGTGATTTAAAAGGCTTCCAAGAAAACTTCGAAACATTTTTTCGGATACCGCCCGCTGTGGGAAGAATACTGCCCGCTCTCGGAACCAATCAGATTGCAGGATTTGTAGAATACCGCCCGCTCACGAAATGAGAAAAAAATAATGTGAATTATTATGCCTAATGTAGTCGAAGGAGCATTAAAGCGTATTTCATGGTTTAACTCTTTACAACCTAACATCAACATTTATATTCTCCACACTGTTCTCTATACACTTAATAAGGTGCTGACAAGTAGAATTTGTCTAATGAACAATCAAGAGTTTCTTTAGTAGGTGATCATTTCCTTTATTCTCATGACATGAATGTGTAAGGAGAAATTAGATGCTAGTCACTCTTTGAGGTTAAAGGGTTACCAAAAAAAGCGAGTCCTATAAATATGGATTTTCTCTCGCTCTAGGGAGCGGAAGGAGGGGAAGCCTTGGGAACGAGCTTGATGATTACCCAGCATACCTTTTTCGTTTCCACACGATGCAAATTACGACTAAGCAGGTTAGTACAACAATCAACGCAGAACCCAGAGCCACCAAGGCAATGAAAATTATGTTGAACTTCTGTTGGTGGCCTTTAAGTGACGTTACAATAATAATCTGAGTGCGCACGGTTGACGAAACCAAATTGATTTCTGTCGAGGCTGATGACGTCTTTGCACCTGTTTTAGTGTTCCGCTGGACAGGAGTACTTGTGACACGGATGCTTTTAACCGATGGCTTTGAGACACGGGTGCTTTTTACCGATGGCTTTGAGACACGCGTGCTTTTAACCGATGGCTTTGAGGTTGGTACGATGTCAGTAACTATAGGACGCGAAAAATATGCATAATTACATTACAAACCAAGAAAGATTAAGTTTTACGGAGACTCGCTCTAGGCCAATGTTATAATCATGGTTATAGAGATCAGTTAATTGGTTTAAAAACTGTTTCCAATCAATTGATAGCTATGTAGCTCTGCGACATTGGAGATATGAAGAGCATCATACTTACGAGATCCATTCTTCTTGAAAAACAAACAAGAATTTGAAACGTTTCCTTCGTCTCCATGACACCGCAACTTGAGCGAGAAAATGCGTCCATCGTACTGCTTTCCAATGTCATTAGTCCACTTCACAAATGTCAAATAAAAAAAGATGTTGAGATAAGTAAGATTGTCGCGGCAAAGTACATTAACATCCTAAACCTACAGCAATTCTCTCTCGCTAACGACTGAACGAAAAAAGGTTGTTCTACCATCACGAAGCGGCCACTTATCATTTCTACCAATCCAAAAGAACAAGGACATAGAAATGCAATGGAAAAGAACAAAACCGTCAACCATCCCTTGATAGATGCTTTTCTTAGATTCAATTTTTTCTCATGGTTAGGGAGAAGGTTTGCTGTCAAGCATATTGAACTGTTCTTCCGCAAAATACCAACGACTCTCTCAGTCTTCCTTTTCTCACAACAGGAACATAGCAGCCTATTAAACAACAAAACTACTATCCTAAGCACTTTTTCGAACCTGATAAACGTAGCACGTTCACCTTTTCTGACAGAAAATAAAGGGGTTTTCAAAATTCCCTATGGCATTAATATAGTGTGAAAAGTTGCATTGAACTTACTTTGAGAAATAGCTTGTTCTCATCATAGTCAGGATCTGGATGAATTTCGACAGATAGTGTCGAAAGAGGTTTGTCATTAGATAAAAAGTTTTCCCAGCTACCATCAAGATAAAGCGATTCCTTCGGTAGTATCTCGCATCTCGACAATTCCTTGGTAAGTTTAAAATGTAGAAGGGCAACAGTAGGTTTCTGGCTCCATGGACACAAATAAACGCTTCTGTTCCCAGGATGTCTTGTGTTAAGAGTTGCGAGAAGTTCACGGTGACATTGGCGATAACTGTCGCCCACAACAGCACGGTATTCACAACCTAACAGGCAAAGGTATTATAGATTAATTCCTCATACTGGTCATGCTTCGATCAGCGCCAAACTCTCTAAGGCGCTCTCAAGCTTTAAAACAGTCTTTAAATGCGCCCCTATCGCATTGGAGACGAATGAACAAAAATACTCCAGCTAGGCACGAGCGAAGGTCCAGTCAGTGCTGAGCTTTATTAAAACGTTCCCCAACTTTAAAACAGTTTTTTTATGCGTTTTTTTAAAAGGGGTGTTTGATCCACACTACGCTATGGCACCACAATGCATAGGACACGTCTTAACAAACTCTTTCCCAAAGTGCTTTCTCTTCCTCCCCTAATAAAATAACTCTCTCGAGAGCTTTCAAAGTAGAGAAAGAAAGAGAGGAGCCTGGGAAAGAGGTTTTTTCCGGAACACTTTTCCATCGCATTCCGAAAACAAAAATCACATTTCTACAGCGGAGGACTCAGTTCTTCACCCAAATATGTAAAATCTTTAACATTTCCCATTGTATCCCGCATTTCCGACGCAACGAATTACAAGGAGATTACGACTTGCACATAAACCGTAAATAATGAGAATACTGGTATATCAATTTTCCGCCAGCGTTTCCGCAGTATGATATCCTACAACCGGCTTAATCAATTGAAGATTCGATTTTTCCGAAAACCTACAAAACAGCTCCACGTTTTGATGAATCACACAATTCCTTCTGCCTTTTTAAGCTAAACTTTTATAAAACTTGTCAATCAAACCCCAATAGCGATAAAAATCTGTGGTTGAGTAAATAGACTTAATAAATGACCTTGGAGCGACGTTTCCAGCCATCAAGGTTTCATTCATTTCCCTCCCATAGTCCATCACGAAAACGTTGTCGAAGTTTCGATCGAATATGCGCTGTGCATAGTTGTATATTACCTTGATACCAGTTTAATTTTCACCATTGTTCTCTAGAGTAAACTTTTCGATTTCCTCGCTATAAGCAACAGAGTTAAATAAGTAACCCGTAGTAGCGTTTTAAGAAGCTTTACAACTATACAGACTTACTACGACAAATCTGATCGCTTGCCAAAACAATCGATAGCAAAATCTTGTCTTAAGCGCTTCTAATACAAAACATGGGTCAAAAAACACTCCAAGTGCTTTTTTAAGCAAAACAGATAAAACACAATTAGGCGTTGCTGATTTTGACGTGTAACAAATATTTGCTATCAGCTGTTTGAGACATTAGCGAAAAAATTCGCCATAATCTAAAAACCAGCGTAGACTATGAACAGCGATGTGGTAACTGAAGATGTGGTCATGACTTTTATCGGATCCTATCATCGCCTCTTAACGTCTCAGTCTGTCGTGTTTGTCGCCATGTGTGCTCCATATGTATAGAGCAAAATAAAGACTGTGGTTGAACGCAAATACTGGTACTTCGAAGAAGCAAATCACAGATCAGACGAAATAAAAACAAAGGTCTTTAAAAATAATAGCGGGCGAATGCAGCAGGATCCACGGAACCGAGCGAAAGAGTCGAACCGCTCGAGATCCCGACAACACTGACAACATGACCCGCTCGTGCCGTGTCGATAAAATACAACTTGTCGAGACTTGAAATAGATTCTCCACGTACACTGATGACTTACCTTGAATAACACTTTGAGCTTTCAAAATGGACATTAGTTGCTCGTCAGAGTGACACGTCCCATTGCTTTGAAGATAGGTTGGTTTCTCTCTCTCGCAGTTACAATAACAACAATTGAACCCGCAAAATGGCGAGTTTTCTCCATCGAGGACGCATCTCGCACCACTCTCATTACAAGATCTGGAAGAGTTTATGTTTTGAAAAAGATCACCTTCTGTGTATCGTGTAATATTGAAAGTACTTCTTCTGCTTTCCACCACAAGAATGAGTGCAAATACAAGTAATCTCAGCGAGAGATTAACGAATTTCTGAGACATTTTGATCGGGTAGAGGACAAGTGAAGACTGGAGCACCATTGTGAGAAAACCGGTTGTAAAATCCGTCAGAAACCGCACATGATTCCCACACCATTGGCCGTGCCCATTAATCCGGTTTTGTCTGTTGAGTTCCGCGGCTACTGTCAGGAAATCGTGTGCAAACGCCTTTCATTTTCCTATCTCCAACTGATATTTGAGAACAGTTTTCGTTTCCAGTCGCCCCACCTTGTGAAAATGGAAGCAGAAAATTTTTCACATTTCTAGATGTCTAACGTCTTCAAAAATAATCAAACCACTTTGAGTATCTCAATAATAAATAGGATTAGTTACTTTGATGAAAACACAAAAAATCTACTGATAATTATCAATGAAATTCTTTTAGGACACCACAACTTACAAAACGGCAAGTTGGGGGAATTTCCGGTCTCTGGTGACAAACAGAAGAGCGTGACCTGTCCAAGAACTTGCTATAAGCGGAGGTTACCAAAGTATAACGTAACGCCACCAGCTGTGTATTCTACAGGAGACCAACATTTCTGCTAAGAATGAAAGGTATATAATTTATTTAATGTTCCAGAAGACCAAAACGTCTCAAAACGAGGCCATGCAGGTCATATCGTCATCGAAAAGGGCGAATTCCTCAAAATCCAATTTCCTGTTTTCTCTAATAATTTCAACATTTGTTCTATGAACCACTCATTTGACATTTTTTGTCAAAATCTGTTTTAGATAAATCAAGGATTGGTGAAGAAAATTGCACTGTAAACAAATGGTGAGATCATCCTAGTCATGAATGCTAATCACGTTAGTCACCCATGACTTGCTCAACATGAGATAGTAAAATGACGTGAGCATGGAGTCGGTGGCCTTCATGTACATGTTTTTGTAATTGGCACAACTCATGATTCAGTTAAGGGGAAAAGCAAAACGCCTTCATTCGCAGTACGCCTACAAAGTATCTATTTCTCTCCAACGCACTATTAAAAAGAATGTTTTCTCTCGTGGGTGACATAAAGCTGTTCGTAAGCCAGAAATAATAATGACCTTACTTCCTATTAGGGTGAATCTTTGACTGGCGTTCAGCTGCAAGAACTGCGTAGATATATAAATCAAATCTTCTGGATTATTTAAAAGCTGGGAAGGTGGACGTTACAGATGTCGAGTACCCAGTTTTCACGCTCTCATTTCAGTATTACTGTCTAGTTTTGGCTCGATTTAGGTGCAGTGGGTATAAACAACATTAATTCAAGTCTGTAAATAACATCGTTGGAGAAGAAAACAAGACGACTTGTTCCATATTTTCCTCAAGCATTAAAAACGTCTGCTGTCTCACTTTCCAGCGTGAATAAGTTATCACGGACATGCGGAGGTTCACTTCTAAACAACATCACAGACTTCTATTCCTGAATTTAATTTTTTTACAATATTTTCAGCGCGTTAATTGGTGAAAGAGCGAACAATTAATTAAGTAGAGCCCACATGTTGAACTAATACCACAAAGGGCGTGTGCTTGTCTGACCGCAAATTAGACAGCCAATAAATTTATCTCTTCAAATTGCCCCTAATGATTCAAAGACACTTCATCTCCTCTTAAAGGAAGTTATGACCTAATTTTAAAAGTTTTCTACGTTCAGGTAAGTGTAACCAACTTAAAGCGTGAATACTACGTCCCAGTCTCCAAGCAAATGTTAGTTTTAAGTCAAGACACATGTATGCTTTCGTGACATTACCACGGCCACGGTCACGCAGCGAATGTTGACCCATGCGTGGAATCAATGAAATCACGATTTTCTTAGATTTTCAAGTAAAATATTGTTGGTAAGGTAATTTGTTGCTACAGTCACTCAATACACTACACAGTATTAAGTTCGAAGAAGAAATGTGCCCAATTTGCCATCGGGTTTCCCATTCTCAGACGTTAGGAAAATCAGGCCATTTCGGGATATCGTATTACACAGAACGGCCACAAAAAGTTCAAAGTTTTAAAATACAGGTGCTCAGTTATTGTTCAGTTTATTAAATGTATTGTTCCACCACCATCTCGTTACCAAAGGCATTCTTTGTTTTGTTTTGTTTTTTTCGTTCAGAAACTGCGGCTTGTCTTCGTAAGACATTCAGGTCTGATGAACCTCTTTCCAGCTCGAGAAATTATAAAGCTTTGTTGGAGCTCCTATTATTTTTCCCTTATTGAGAAATAAAAAAAACTTATTTCAGCAATCCTTTGAGGATTACGCTAATGTATGATCTACAGAAGTAAAAAACGTTCACAATTTTCAATACTGCAGGATTAAAAAAATTATCTGATAATGCCAAACGACCAATTGCAATAATGCTAAACGACCAATTGTACACCGTCGCTAAGCGACAGCGTGCAATTTCAAAAAGGAAAAGATGATGAAAATTGATTTTCATTCAGATGACAGCGTCGAAGCAGGCTGTTTTCATTATCAACACATTAGCTTGAAACTCGCCTTCAAAGAAAAGTGATCTGATGAAAAATACTCATTAGGAAAACCTCTGTACGCAGCGATTGCTGACGCAGGTAAGGTTTCCAGAACTGATGTAACTTGCAAATTTTCGGAATCAAACCAAATGTAGTCAAAAGTCCACAAGCGACTCGCATCATCCTCAAAACTTGTGCATTCAGGCTCAGAACCCTAAAAAATAAAGGAATTATTACGGATATTTCAATCAATTTTACGAAATGCTTAAAATAACGTTTAGGAAAAACGAATTGGAAGTAATTCAAATATTTCCTTTTCTTGCGACCATAACATTCTTGACAACCTTATAAACCTGGTGTTAATTCGACCTTTGCTAATTCAAGCTGACCATAAAAGAGATTTCATAATGGCTAGTGCCAGGCTGTTCGAGATGTTCAGTCAGTAGACTGGGCACTATGATAACCCAGACTTTACGCTTTGAGCTTCGTCCGAAGCCTCGTCCACTAATTAAAAGTTTAGGAAAGGCTCAAACTCCTCTAATATATTCATTTGATAAGACTGATACCAAAAAAAGAAAAATTCTTAAGAAAGTATGACCAGAGACCAAGACCACCTACGTACCAAGACCACCTTGTAGGCACTCCGCAGAGGTGTCAGTGGACAATGGAGATGGTTCTTGGCTTTGTACAAAAGTGCAATCTGTTCAGGAAGAACCTAGAGATGGAAGCAGAACGTAACAGAAATCTTTCTTTATCTGATTCATTACACAAAATTGTCCAATGATGGAAAATTTCACCTCACTACCCACCACTTAACATCTTTATATCATTTAAGGCATAAAGAATGGTACCTGCTCTGGCTTTGGAATATCTGCCGAGAATCGCAAGTAATCAACAGTTTGGAGTTTGCAGAATTCATTTTCGCTGAGACGACCAGTGGTTAGGAGACTGTAAGGAGGACAGTGAGGTTCAATATTAAAATCTCCACACAGGATATAGGCCACACGCTTTCCTTGTGACCTCAGTGACGTAACCATATCATGAAGGGCTTGAGTGACAAGTGACACTTCACAGATTTGCGTGACAGGTTCAAGGAGATCTTTCCATAAAATGTGAGTGGTAGCTTGAACAGGAAGAAAATAAACCTATTAACATAATTACCATGTAACTACTCTTACAATATCCATGAGAATACTAAAACTTATCAATTAGAAGTTGTTATCTTGATCTAACACTAAATTTTTGTAACCAATTTTACAATGAAATGGGTAGCAGCAAGAGGGGAGAATTAACAATCAGATCTTGGGAGTTCCAGGGTTAACTTGGGAGACCATCCACTGTACAGTGTGACCTCATGCATATGGCAGGTGATGTGACATTGGCCAGCACATCTTCTTGAGCATCTCCTAGTTTCTGGAGCCTGAGAAAGTGTGAATAATGTTTCTAGTCTTGGGTAGGTACCTAGTCTATTTCAGGTTGATCCCTAGCATTTTGTCAGGTTTCTTTGAAAATTTGCCATTACACATTTACACTCCCTGTTGGATACACAGAGGCACTGTGAAAGTAAAGTGTTTGGCCTATGAACAAAATGCAATTGTCCCAAAAAGATATTTCCTGCAAGTCTTACTAAATCAACTTGAATAAATGAGCCCTTTCACTCTCAAAATCTCACTAGAAATTCTCCTTACTGTCTGCCATACAATTCTTATTGTGTTAGTTCAGAGAATTTGGTTTTGGATCAGTTGATAATCCCTATTTGATATTTTCCTTTAATCTTGTCACTTGTCTGCTTGCCATTGTGCTAATATTATAAGGAGAAATTCTGTTATGGTCACTCATGGGAATCAAAGTGTTGAGAGAGAAGTCCACATCTTTAAAACCAACAACGCTCAATATCTTACCTGTCACTAGCACCACATTGGTAATTTTATGCCTTACTGCTGCAAATATCACAACTTCTCCAAATTTTTGACACTCGGCCTCTAAAGAGGCATCTGATGCAATGTCATTGATAACTAATGTTTTTGACTGTTCTAGTTCAAACTTGTCCTTTTTGAAGAACAGTGCTACTCCCTCCTGTCGACCTGTGCAGGGAGACTTCTGCATAAACAGTCCCTTATACCCTAAGGACAACATAACTTCTTCAAGGATTCCTGCAAAGTAGGCTGGGTCCACTTCTTGTAGACAGACAATGTCTCCATTTAACCACTGAAGCTGAAAAACATGAAAAAAATCATGTAAATAATCCAATATTCTTTATTAACCCTTTTACTGTCATGAGTGACCAAGACAGAATTTCTCCTAACAACACCAATAAAATATCAACCAGATAAGTGATGAGAATAAAGAAAAATATCAATTTGGGGATAATTAGTTGATCCAATACTAAATTCTCTGAACTAACATCATAAGAACTGTATGGCTGACAGTGAGGAGAATAACAAATTTGATCTGGGAGTTAAAGGGTTAATAAACCTTTTAACCTTTAGGGCTGACTAGCATCTAATTTTTTTCCTCAGTGATGAATCAAACATTTAGGTCATGAGAATAAAGGAATTGATCACCTATCAAAGAAGTTCTTGGCTGATTTGATCAATTACGCAAACTTTCTGGTGATGAAATAAATTTCTTTTACCTCAGGCTTGCTAAGTATCATACTTAAAAATTATCTGATATTTTACTATTACAGCCCTCATACTTTGTTGACAAGATAGATGCATAATGCATCTGATAAACAGCTTCTCAAGCTTCTCACACTGCCTGTAAAAAAATGTCTGAACTTTTTCCATACCTCTCTCATAAGTAGCTTGTGTCGTGGACAGCTCCTGTCTTGTTTTGGTGTAACATATTCTTCAGGGCAATTCTTATACCTGCCCTTTTTCAATGCACTTTGAACGTAAAAATCTGCAAGAATGTTGTATGTGACAACAGAAATGTCCTCTTCCCCACAATTATCCTGATCACTGATATAGGTGGTTTTTTGACTATCCAGAGTTGGCAAAGTGCTCATTTTATACTCCAAAACTGTACAATTTTTGGAAACTGGACAAGGTAATGTTAAAGTTTCTATGAAAAAAAGTTGACAATCAGTGTGAGACAACAAAATTCACTCAGCTTTAAGAGTAAGAATATGTTGAGCAGGACTTCCACATGCATGACCCCATTTTGTATATATCAGGTGAAGGAAAAATTTCCGCATAGCCCCATCCTTCGTTATACATGCAAATCTTATTGGTGATACACTGAATAATAAAGCCCCATGTATGGATGCGTAATGATGGGGCTTTGCGGAAACTTTGCCCAGGTGAATAGTGCTTTTCACGCGTCATAAATTTAATTTCCGACCATATTTTGGTATATTGACAAAAATAATCTAATTTTTTTGGCTTCTGTGTGGTATATACTAACAAAATACAAAATAATTATTCATCTAAGGGTGGATATTTACCACGCCGCTTCCCGACTCGGTAAATATCCACCAATATTCACCACCACTTCGATGAGTAATTGTTGACGATACAGCTTTAGGTGAAATAGTAACCCTCAGAAAAAACATGGATTTATATTACTCAACTCTCTTTGCTTCAATGATCTGATTTGAGTTCGAAATATTCAGGTGATTTGTCCAACTTTAGTGATAATACTTATATTCAGCAGACGTGAGAGGCTGCAACCTCTATGGTTAAAGAATTTTCGATCGAAAGCGTGTCACATTAAGGATTACGGGATCCACGAATACCCTTGGATCATGCAGTCGCCATCTTGGATCAAAAATGGTGTGGGTAGGCTAGGTAAGACGAAGGCAAGAGGCCGCGTGACGTCAGTTACGGTCGATATGATCAATATGACAGCGAGGAATGTTCCTTACATAACATAACATAATAATAACATGACAATATCTTTAAAACTCTGTTTAGTAACCAGAGGCTCTTTAGAGCTACCTCATGGTGTGCCTTAATTTATTTGTGATGAGAACTTTAAATATCTCTTTTTATTGTTTTTTTAGAGGGCACGGTAACGAATCTTGCAATCTGATTGGTTCCTTACCCGGTCAGTATTTTCCTATCTCTGCCCACGGGCCACGGTAACGCTTTCGTGAGTCGCCGAGTACATCCCAACTTTCGTTGTCATTTTTCATAAATATACCTCGTTTTCCGGCTGGGCAGTATTTTTAAGCAAACACGTCGGTCACTACCTCAAGCCGATAAACAACTTATGAATCCTCTCTTTTCTCTCTAAGTATCAAATCACTTCGGTTGACAGAAAAATATTGGTTTCAGAATGAATTTGTATAAATAATGGTGTCATTACGTTGGTTGACAAACGGCCTAAAAACCGTCTGCAATTAATTTTAATCGTTCACAAAAAGTACCCAGAAAGTTGAAACGTGAGGTATTTGGTTACAGTTAAACTGAACGATGGAACTTTCATTCATTTAATATCTGAATTTTCTCGAGCATTTAAGTTCTACAACAAATATATGCTCCCGGTGAGTCTTTCCAATTCCATTCAATTTGGACATTTGTACCGTAAATTGCACAACAGAAATTGAAGGAGTTTTTTGAGAAAAGGCCGCATTAAATTCCCTTGTGTCTCGTTGGAGTGTGCCGTTCGAATTTAGTTTTTGTGAAGGAAAGACCAGAGTTAAACACGCCATTACAGCAAACAAAAGAGCAAACTCTCACAAATTCAAAATAAAAAAAATTGAATTTACTCACAATTACTTTCCTCGCCGTTTACTTAATGAACAGAGGTAAATCTTCGTACATGAATGAATGGTCGATGAGAGTGAATAATACTTTCCGTTAGATCATTAACTGATTTTGAAGAAAACACTGTCGTCACAGTCCTTGCCAAACTAGCTCAGTTGGTTTTCAAATGTTCCTACGTCTTTTTTTTCTTGCGCGCTCTCTAATTGACAGGTGTCAGATTGTGACAGATACTTGTATAAATGTTTCAAAGTTTGTTTGGAAGCCTTTTAAATCACCTTTATCGTTGCAGAAATTAAAATGTTTCGCTGAGGCATCTCCCTTAAATTTGCGTCACCTCTATTTCAACTACCATTTATTCACTCAAAAATTGTTCAGTTTATGCACAGGCGGCCCAAGCTCCAGCTGTGAGATGATCATCTTACGCAATAACGGTCATGGAGGAATTATAAGAGTTTGTATGGGAATATTTATGAGCGCTCTAAGGAATAAAAAAATACGTCAAATTCTCAAAAAAAATACCTCACCTCGCTTCCACAGCGTATTGCTTGTTATCTGACCGCTTACTTTGATGAAAAGAGCCCATTTGAGCGAGTTGTTCATTTCGAGGTTTTCAACGCACATAAGGGCTTTTCTTATGTACTTTGAAAACCTCGAAATGAACAACTCGCTCAAATGGGCTCTTTTCATCAAAGTAAGCGGTCAGATAACAAGCAATACGCTGTGGAAGCGAGGTGAGGTATTTTTTTTGAGAATTTGACGTATTTTTTTTATACCTGAGGGCGGTCGTAAATATGCCCATACAAACTCTCATAATTCCGCCATGACCGTTATTGCGTAAGATGATCATCTCACAGCTGGAGCTTGGGCCACCTGTGGTTTATGGAAGATCTTGCCGTATTTACGGCCATAAATCATTCGGGTTCTTTCGGAAAGAATTTCGTCAAGTTTAAAAACAATAAATATGTTATATACCGGCTAAGGGTCGGTCCGTAAGGTGAAAAACTGTGACCTCGGTCTTGAAAAAGCTGCAGTATTTTCAAGACCTCGGTCACAGTTTTTCACCACACGGACCTCCCAGCCGGCAAATAACATATATCTATTGTAGCGTGACATGCCCTTAAATGACCAGTAGTTTGTTAACTTTTAAAGCATTAGCCGGAGCACTATGCGTAATAACAAAATAACAGCAGACGAAGGAAGAGGTTTGAAGACAAGATTTATAAATTTCATATCTATTATATATTTGTTACATTTATTTATATTTTATATTTACTATCATTAATTCGCATAAATTGACGACCGAACAACGAAAAAAATTTCGGAGAATGATGGCCAAATTGATGCTGAAAATTCAATCCGTGCCTAAATAAGTTATAGAACTTTACAACGCGTTAAAATTTTGACTAATAAGATTCACGCAGCCAAACCAGGGGCGATATAACTAACAGGTGATTGAGAAACAATAGTCTTTAAGGCATTAAAGAGTATATTAATATTTCCAGGAGTAAACTGACTCATTCAGACAGTATTCGTTTAGTTTTTAGTGCGAAAAGACCTTAAACCAGTAATTGATTATTTTTTTGTTCCATTTTGTTTTGTCTTTTTTCGGAGGGTAACATGTAAATACTAAGAGCTACCCACGATAAAGAAAGAAAATAACCATTATTATAATCATTATTAATATTACTATAATTAGAATTATCATTATGTGGAGGGCATTGCAGGGGAACTGAAAAAGAGCTAACCGGCCGTTAAAGTTACCAGGAAAACTCGCTAGATTCAAAGCAACAAACAAGTGAGTGTTTGAGGCAAGTTTGTGTTAAGTAAAACATAGTTCAGATTTTTGGGTTAAGAATGCTACAGTTCATATCCATACAAATGCTATTGTGCTACTTTAACATTTTGGCATGTTTTCAGAGTGCTGTTGAGCGAGCTTACACTTTCTACCTGCGGTTTCAAATACTACCTCAGTTACCTATGTTGTAAGTGCAAACATCCAGCACGCGTGAAACTGAAATAAACAAATTCGATCAGATAAGTGAAGGTTGGAGGTCACAGTAGAAGCTGTAAAATTATAAAAGTCTCCAAAGCCGTTCTCTCTCTCGTATAGATTTTTAAATATACAAATACTGAATTAAATATTAATATTTCAAATTGTCAGTTGGTGTGAAATTAGTTGAAAAGATTATAGAGTAAACACATTTGAAAACCTGGCAACTGGTTTAGCAGTCTTAAAAATTCTTCAAGGACTCTAGTGTTTAAAATAATGAGACTTGAAACACGTTTACGCCGTATAAAGGTTGATAACAAGCTGCACTTTTAACGATAACCAACCTCAGAGATGAAATCCTCTCAGAACGACTCACAGATGAAATTTTTAAGCAAAGAGTTGGTAACAAGCCCCTCAGTTGGTAACAATCAACCTCTACTCAGAGAAGTAGGCCTCCCCCCTCCCCCTCCCCCCCTTAAAAAGAAGAGGAAATTCAGAGAAAGTAAATTGATTAGTGCTAAAACATATAAATTGCTATTTTCAATAAAAAAAAAACGAAAGCATCATGTTTCAAATCTGCGGTTTTCGGGAATATTCATGACTTTATTAATACTGAACAAAACGTTCACACTTTTTCCACGATAATATGTTAGAATTGATTTCTCTAACACTCGTTTGTGGTTTGGTTGATCCTTCTTTATTTACTTTTCTTCTCAAGTTGTTACAATGGGGACTAGCTTCAATATATCAGGGAAAACTAGAGTCTCCGCTTATAAAGGTGACACTGTGGATGACATTTCTAAGCCGTCAATCTTCTTGTGTCGTCATCGTACCATCTCAACTAGCAAATCGCGCTTGACTACGTATTATAGTTCCCACATACTGAGTAAGCACCTTAGGGTTGTCTACGCAGTTACAAAATTAATGTCTTCCCTAATTTTCATATCTTTACGGTTGAGATCGGCCAGAACAGAAACGAGATCGACAATATAAAAATTACAAATAACCTTGGTGTAGAGTATTATTTATACCTGAAAGTGTATTTTTAAGAGAAAATCACCTTTAAAGATTGTTACATAACAACATCTTGGTCACAAGAGTTAAAGAAGAAAGGCGCTCACAAGTACCGTCCCCAAATTGCTTCTTGCTGCGAAACATGAGGGGCATCACCTGTTTACCCTTAAATTACCTCTGGGTACACGAAGGTGTCGAACGCGACCTATTACCAGGGAGATTTACTCTTCCTGGACTAACAAATTAACTTATTTAAGAACACGGTTTATCACGAGTTCCATGTCAACCTCACAATCACAACGAAGTAAACGTGATTAAACTCACTAGGTGAACGTGGCCAAACTCACAAGAAGAACGTGATTAAACTCAACCTTTAAGATAAGACCACCAAGAAGGAGTACGAAGTAATCAACCTGCCCTTTTTATAATTTAGATTAAATGACTTAGAATGAAATAATATTTCCATTCCTTTTCTTTCCAACACCAATACAGGAAACCCTTACGATATTGTAGATTAACTATAATTGTAATTTTATCGTTTAACAAATACTACATAGTAATTTCGTTTATTAGTCTGAGCGGGTTTTGGTTCATATTTTTACCTTTGTTTCTTAAGTTACTTATCTCATAAATCAATATCAGGATCCTCTCAATATAATGAGGAACTACAGCAAGACAATTTCACGAGAAATAAAAACCAAAGTAATCACAACAGCCTATCATAAAGAAAGGTTAGCGTCATCATTGACTAATCAGAAATGAGGGTAAAATCAGATTTGCTCCGGGGTTTGCATAAGAACTCCATCATAAATTTAACCTCAAAGCTGCCTACATATTGATACTATTTGCTGGATTACACACAAAGCTGATTTCACTTCAACCACATGAATGTGGTTTACTTTCTACGGCTAATTTATACTTTAAGCTGCAATTGACACTACCAACAACAACCCTATGGCTACGACACCATTGCTGATAAAAACTGCCTTGTTGGAGCTGGAGTCCAGAATATTTCCCTTGTTACAGTAATCTTCATAGCAGCACTTTTCTTTGCATGTT